TGATCCACCCGCCTCGGCCTCCCAAAGTGCTGGGATTACAGGCTTGAGCCACCGCGCCCGGCCGAATAACTTCATCTTTACCACACACATTTCATGTACTCTAAAGCCATTTTTATTTTAATATTGTAATTAGCCTTTTTCCAGTTTCTGTCTTTTCCCGTAAATTCTTTCCATAAAACTTTAGGAGCCAGAGGGTATAATCTAGAGACTATTAAATAAGGAGAGAATTTTTCACGAAGGAGCCACTTAGGGTTTTCGTTTTTCCACATATTTTCAGACCCCATTTGTACTCCTTTGTATTAGACAGAGGACAAAGAGGCTGCCAGTAAGTGGCTGTGCTCATTCTAAAGCTCCCAGCCTCCCGGGCCTCCAGCCTTCACTGCACCTACAGCCCCTTCATTTTGCAGCATAGGTCCCTAAGACAGTGCTTCTGAGCCAATGTGTTTGAAAAAGGGGTTGTTACATTGATGCTGAGGTGGGTGGATCACCTGAGATCAGGAGTTTGAGAGCAGCCTGGCCAACATGGTAAAACCCTGTCTCTATTAAAAATAAAAAAAATTAGCCAGCATGGTGGGTGGGTGCCTATAATCCCAAATACTTGGGAGGCTGAGGCAGGAGAATTGCTTGAACCCGGGAGGCAGAGGTTGCAGTGAGCTGAGATCACGCCATTGAGCTCCCGCCTGGGCGACAGAGTGAGACTCTGTCCGCACCGCAACAAAATAGCCTTACGGCAGTTAAAGGAAAAAAGTAGCTCCAAATGTATTGATGTCGTAAGTTCGAATGTTGTTATATTAAATAAGTAGATTACAGAATAATAAAGTATGACACCGAATGTAAAGAAATACATATGGACAGGTGTGCATATATATAGGTAGATGTATTGAACACGTTATAAAAGGATGTGCTCCAAAGCAGAGCACTTGACAGGGAGGAGAGTGGTACTGGTAGGATTTTATGCTGTTTGAATTTTGCTAATCAGAAGGTATTCATGTACTTCTTAAAAAATTTTTCTTTTTTTTTTTTCCAGGTTCTCACAAAATCTGATTTTTTTTTCTTCATTTTTTTTCAGTACTTTTTTTTTTTTTTTTAAAGATGGGGTTTCACCATGCTGGCCAGGCTGGTCTTGAACTCCCGACCTCAGGTGATCCGCCCACCTTGGCCTCCAAAGTGGTTGGATTACAGGCCTGAGCCACCACGCCCGGCCTCAGTACTTTTTTAAAGACGGAGTCTCACTCTGTCGCCCTGGCTGGAGTCCAGTAGCATGATCTTGGCTCACTGCAACCTCTGTCTCCCAAATTCAAGCAATTCTCCGGCCTCAGCCTCCTGAGTAGCTGAGACTATAAGCACCACGCCTGGCGAATTTTTGTATTTCTAGTAGAGACGGGGTTTCACCATGTTGGCCAGGCTAGTCTCAAACTCCTGACATCATGTGATCCACCTGCCTTGGCCTCCCAAAGTGATGGGATTACAGGAGTGAGCCACCGTGCCCAGCCCATATTCATGTATTTTTATGTAACTAAGACCACATAAAGGTTGATAAGTAAATGAAAAGTCAGACTATTCCCCATGCCCACACCACACAAGTGAACCATCTGTTTTGTTTCCTCAGGGATTTTTGCCAAACCTGATCATGTTAAGATGACATATCCAAAGGCTCAGCTTCAGCATTCACTGCCTTTATTATTGATTTGTGACAATCTCCGTGACCCTGGGAACCTCGGGACAATTCTGAGATCTGCAGCTGGGGCAGGCTGCAGCAAAGTGTTACTCACCAAAGGTAAGAGCACCAAAGGCCAGGCATGGCAGCTGACACCTGTAATCTAGCCCTTGGCAGCCAAGGGAGGAGGGTCACTTGAGCGCAGGAGTTCAGGACCCGCCTGGGCAACATAGTGAGATGTCATCTCTTAAAAAAAAATAATAATAATTAACTGGGTGTGGTGGTGTGTGCCTGTAATCCCAGCAACTTGGGAGGCTGAGGTGGGAGGATTGCTTGAGCCTGGGATGTCAAGGTTGCAGTGTGCTCATCATTGTACTCCAGTGACAGAGTAAGACCTTGTCTGAAAACAAAAAACGTATTACTAGGTGGATTCGTTGGTTATTTATTTATTTTTAAGCGATGGGGGTCTTACTGTGTTGCCCAGGCTGGGGTTGAACTGGCTCTGGCTCGAGCAGTCCTCCTGCCTCAGCCTCCCAAAGTGCTGGAATTACAGGCAGGGCCACCCTGCCCAGCCAAGTTGGCCATTGTTAGGTGAGCCAGGGCTCTGGGCATACAGACACAGGTTTTGTCTTGGTTCTGCCTTTGCTAGCTGTGGCCCTGAGCAGGAGTCCCTTCAGTGTCAGCGTCCTCGTGTGTGAAGTGGGAGCAGTAACAATCTCACTGGTCATTGTGAGGACTAAGTGAGTTGATGCACATCAGATACTTCACATCTCACCTTCTGTGCCTGGCACACAAGTAATTCAGTGTTGATTATCTTCACACCACACCCCCTGTGCCTGGCACACAAGTGACTCGGTAAACGTTGATGCTCTTTTTAAAAAATTACCTTTTTTTGTAGAGACAGGGTGTTGCCATGTTGCCCAGGCTGATCTCGAACTCCTAAGCTCAAGGGATCCTCCTGCCTCGGCCTCACAAAGTGCTGAGATGATAGGTGTTAGCTGCTGGATCCAGCCAGTGTTTATTATCTTTAAAATTATCATGAAACCTGTTAGGCTATTAAAGGACCTCAAGTCAATTACAGAAAAGAAATAGATGCCAATTTTAACACTTGGTTTCTGCTTCTTTATTTAATGATCTTGAGTTCCCAAATTGTTGTGTCTACGAGACGTTCCTAACCCTTAAATTCTGAATCCTGTGAAAGGCACCATGTCAACAGCGTGTGATTCTGTAGTTGTGATTCATTTCCCTTAGCCTCGGCATGGGTCATGTGCGTACACACAGACTAGTCTCATTACATTTCGTCTCTTCCCATCAGAAATGGGGATGAACAGGCTTCTTCTAAACAGATTTGCCTAACAATTGGGGCATGCCTACAATGTCTATTACACCTTGGGCAGAGAGCACAGAGAGGATCCTTCATCAGAGACACCCAAGCCACCATTAAGAGCAAACTAATAGTGGCACCCATTGTTGAGACTCAGTCACGCCTTGTTGGAGTACGTTTCTATGCCAGTGTGAGAGCTGAGTGCTGGGGTTCCAAGATCAGTACCCCGCTGACTTGCCCCATTATTTAGTGTCCTGATAGCTGTTCTGAGATTTGGAAATCTAAATAATCCAAGCAGTACAGTTTTTACATGGGTAAGAAACAGGGAAAGAAAGTAGGAAATACTTGGTGTGGTGCCCGGTGCCCAGTGCCCAGGACAGGAGGACAACAGCAGAAGCCCCACCAGGCAGAGGGGTGGCCTCGGCTGCTCCTCTCACACAGCTGGGCCCATCTTGGGTCCCTTTCCCCAACCTCTTGGCATATGGCCCAGCTCCCGACTCTGGTTTCCTGCAGGGAGCAGGAAAGCCCGTGGTAGGGGTGCAGGCGCTGTTACATCCTGTGTCTCATTCTCCTTTTGCTGGTTTGCCTGGTTAGTCTGTCCTGAGCTTTGACAAATGAACTTTTAAAATGACTTGTGAGGGGAGATGTGCATGGACAGGTTGCCAGGGGATGGTGGCAGGCGGTGCAGTCACTGTGAGGTCCACCTGGCCTGCTCCCCCAGCCTGCCCGGGGCAAGGAGTGGACCTGGGAAAGGCCAATCTCTAGTGCCTCCCCTGCTCCAGTGCAGGCTGAACACAAGCCCGGTGGGGCTTCATGAAACATGCTGATTGTCAGGGCTTTGTGTAAGATCCTCAACCGCATGACACTGACTTCTGATAAAATGTCCAAGTCCCCAGCTTCCCACACATGGCCTCCTTTGTATTGGCCTGCCCACCTCCTGTGCCGCCACCCCCCCCCCCCTTCCCCCCCCCCCCCCCCCCCCGTTGATGGCAGGCTCACCGCCTGTGCCGCCACACCCCACCCGCTGACTGGCAGGCTCACCTCCTGTGCCGCCACACCCCACTCGCTGACTGGCAGGCTCACCTGTGCCGCCACACCCCACCCGCTGACTGGCAGGCTCACCTCCTGTGCCCGCCACACCCCACCCGCTGACTGGCAGGCTCA